AGGAACCTCACCAGACTGCCATGACTTCTCAAATATGATAGCTAGTGTCTTAGTGACTTCATCCACCAGTTCCCTCAGGACCCGTGGATGTATCTCATCAGGTCCCGTGGACTTGTGCACCTTCAGGTTCCTCAGGTGGTCTTGCATTGGATCTTCACCTACAGTGGGTGGTTCTCCATTTTCCCAATCCTCGCCTTTGCATTCTGTGTCATGGGCAGTGCGGCTGCAGTCCTTGCCAGTGAAGACTGAGGCAAAAAAGACATTGAGCACCTCAGCTCTGTCACTGACCCGGGTAACCAGTTCTTGCATTTCCCTTGGAGAGGGCCCACCTCTTCCCTACTCTTTCTTTTCTCTCTGACACACCTAAAGAAGGATTTTTTGTTTGTCTTAATGTCCCTGGTCAGATTGAATTCTATCTGGGCTTTAGCTTGTCTAACCTGATCCCTGGCTGCTCAAACAATTCCTCTGTGTTCCTCCCAGGCTACCAGCCCCTGTTTCCACTCTCTATAGGCCACCCTTTTCTTTTTGGTCATGTCCAGGAGCTCCTTGTTCATCCACACAGGTTTCCTGGCTTTTCTGCCTGCCTTCCTCTTTGTAGGGATGCATTGCTCCTGAGCTTGGAGGAGGTGGTCCTTGAATATTAACCAACTTTCTTGGGCCCCTCTTCCCTCCAGCGCTTCATCCCATGGCACCATACCAAGCAGATTCTTCAAGAGGCCAAAGGCAGCTCTCCCAAAGTCTAGGGTGGTCAGCCTGCTGCACACTTTCCTTGCTGGCTCAAGGATTTCAAACTCAACCATTTCATGGTTACTACAGCCCAGGCTCCCCTTGAGTTTGACACTGTCTACTGGCCCCTCCTTGTTGGTAAGTACAAGGTCCAGCAAAGCTCCTCTCCTCGCTGGCTCCTCAACCACTTGGAGAAGGAAGTTGTCCTCAATGCAATCCAAGAACCTCCTGGATTGCCTATGCCTGGCTGTGTTACCCTTCCAACTGATGTTGGGGTGGTTGAAGTCACCCGTGAGAACCAGGGTCTGTGAACATGATGCCACCCCTATCTGTCTATAGAAGGCTTCATCCACTCGGTCTTCTTGGTCGGGTAGCCTGTAGCAGACCCCCACTGTAATGTCCCCTGCTCCCAATTTCCCTTTAATCCGGACTCATAGGCTCTCAGTTGGCTCTTTATCCATCCCTAGGCTGAGCTCCATGCATTCCAGCTGCTCGTTAACATATAAGGCAACACCGCCTCCTCCTTTCCCTTGCCTGTCTCTCCTGAAGAGCCTGTAGCCTTCCATGGCAACACTCCAGTCATAGGAGTCATCCCACCAAGTTTCTACAATGCCAATGAAATCTTAGCCTTGGAGGCGTGCACACATCTCTAGCTCCTCCTGTTTGTTCCCCATGCTCCATGCATTTGCGTAAAGGCACTTCAGCTGTGTCTTTGTTGGGGCTGACTTGGCTGGAGCAGCTGTAATTACTTACATAATAAATAAATAAATAAATAGGCTGCTCTCCAGGCAGCATTCCTTTGCCATGTATTAACAGTGCCTCCCCATGGGTTCCTGTTGGTCCAGGAGCTCCTGGCTCGTCTACTTGAGACCTTGAGCATGCAGCAGTGTAGCCAGCACATTTTGGACCAAATGGCTGCAGGCTCTCACCAGCACCCAGTTACTCTTTCCTTAGTACAACTTCCCTTGGCTGGTCACAGGCAAACCTGATAATACACCCTTCCCCTGTTGAATCTAGTTTAAAGCCCTGTTAATGAGCCCTGCTAATTTTTGGGCAAAACCTCTTCTCCCGCTTTGAGTGAGCCAACCCCTGTCTGCTGCCAGCAGGCCTGGTGCGGCATAGGCCATTCCATTGTTGAAAAACCCAAAACTGTGGCCGTGACACCAGCCACGGAGCCACGTATTAATAGACTGGGCTTGTCTGTTCATTTCAATGTCATTGCCTTCAACAGGAAGCAGGGACAAAAAAATGACCTGTGATCCAGATCCCCGTAGTAACTGTTCCAAGGCCCTGATATCTCTTTTAATCATCCTCGCACTCTGATCTGCACATTCGTTACCCCCCACGTGGAACAGAAGCAGTGGGAGTAGTCCAAGGGCTGAATCAGGCTAGGGAGTCTCTTTGTGATATTCCTGACCCGTGCCCCAGGGAGGCAGCAGACCTCCCTAAGAGTGCGGTCAGCCCTGCATATTGGACCTTCTGCCCCCCTCAGAGCTGAGTTGCCCATGACTATAACCCTCCTTTTCTTCCTTGTAGAGGTGGTCCTAATATGGTGAGTAGGCCTTTCTGGTCCTGGCGGCTCCTGTGATGCATTAGGACTGTCAGCCTCGTTTTCCTTAAGTTGTTCTGCCATGCTCAGTGCCTCATACCTGTTGTACAGGGGTACATGGGGAGGGGAGGCAGGCAAGGAGGGGGTTTGCATGCTGGCCATACCACAGACTTGCCTCCATTCGCCATTTTCCAGTAGGCCACTGCCTTCCATCTCTTCAGCCCTACAGGGCAAGGAGATGATATCCCTGTGGTCTTTTTTTATTTCCAGTGTCTGGCCCAGTCTCTCTTTCAAGGAGCTCAAGGCCTGGGTCCGCCAGTCGATTTCTTTCTCGCTCTCCTTGATACTCCTTAGTTGTTTAACTTCGTCCCAGAACTCTGCCACCAGGCACAGCAGATCATCCACTTGCTCACACCTCACACAACCATTATTACCGCTACTACTTGCTAGTAGTGCAAGGCTACGGCACTCCCTGCAGCCTGAGGCCTATGTGCCTGTGTGTTTCCAAGGGAGCGCTGTCTGTGTTGCTGCATATACTTTGACAAGTGCTGAGGACATGGCTTTCCGGCTGGCGGAGACCATGCCTGAGCTTCTCTTACCAGGTGAACCCACCTCTGGAATTGGGAGCACCTTCTGCGCGAACTGCCGCGCAAACAGCCACGCCACAACC